AGAAGGAGAAAAGCAAGGAAGGGAAAAACCTTCCCCCTTCACCTCATTCCATGGTCAGGCGAGCACAAAAACCTGATTCTATTAGCTCCAAAGGCCTCTACTGTACAAACATAATCAAGAAAGAATTCTTGACTTAAGTGCCCCACAATGAAAGACAGAAAATGACTAACTTCTCAAGACTAGAGTTGATTATTTTCATGAATCTTTTTGGGGGGTGGGGGGGGTGTATTTGTGTGGAATATGACTCTTTCAGAGACGGCCCTGAGATAAGGCATCCAGAAGATACAAACCAAGCAACAAATGAGATCACTGACTAAGAATCTGTGCTCACGGTCAAGGCTTCCCAGGGAGGTCTCGCTTCATGAGAGGCTAGACATCAGGGGCCATTTCCTGCTCTGGCTGGAGAAGAGCTATTCTAGACGGGAGAGAAGGGAAGACATTTCTCACTCTTCTCCCGGGCCTTAAGATGATGCCCGCTTTAACTCCAGATGATCCAGGCGGGGCTGCTTCTCCCCTCCATGGAGCTCTGCTTGGGACCTAACACCAGGGATTAGAGAGGCTCAGAGAAATCGTGAAAATCATCTTAGTGACTTGGGTCAAGGAAGTTACAAGCTAAGACAAAGACATCACGGTCTCCCTAAAGGCATTCCAGGAGGTCACAGCAAAAGCAAGTCACTATAAATTCCAGCAAGCAACCCGCTTCCTTCACAATCTCTCCCCCAGAGAGAAGGGTAGCATTTTCTGGTGTGTTTTGAGCTGTGATGAATCGGAGAACGCCGGGGCTTTCCACCCCTGTGCACAGTGACAGTCTGGGGACCTTACAGTGGCAGTTTGACTCTGTCCTGTCGAGTTGCTCTGAGGCTGAATGACCGGATGGCAGACAGGTAGACTGGTCCACAGAAATCCCACGGAACCACATACCCCCAAAGACGGCATCACTCACATGTACTGATTCCAGCTTTACCTTACCAACCTACTCCAACCTTGAAAACACACAGCTGGCCCTGCCCGGCCCTGCCGGAAGCCGTGGTTCCTGGATTGAGCAGGGAACGCAGGTTACAGCGTTTGCTCCCTGAGCTGCGTGCTCTGCTGCTCCCAGGCCCAGGATCCTCTAGATCAGTGGTGCCCAAGAGAACTTTCTGCAATGAAGAATCTTCTCTTTGCAGCTGTCCAACATGGGAGCGCGTGAAGAGCAGCTGTTGTGGCCAAGGAACAAAATGCCATCCCATTTCCATTCATTCAAATCTAAATAATAACTATACTGGAAAAGAGTAGAGTCTACTGCAGCTACCTTTCGGCAAAAAAAATTTTTTGGACTCGAGTGTGAATTCAGCCCTGCAAACTGGCCTTGTTTCTGCCTCATAATTCGGGTCCTAAGCCACTCCGTGGAGTCCCGGGGACTTTCAGCTGCCAACCCACCAAAAGGTTGGAGATTCAAGTCGACGTAAAGCAGCGGTTCTTAAAGGGTCCCGGCATTAGGAAGGTTGAGAACCACTGACCTAAAGGCATCTCCGAGGCCAGCTCTGATGGTCTACTTCCCGAAGGACCGGCCCCGGATGGGTGAGTGAGAGTGGTTTTATGTCCCAATCCTTGCTTGTCCCCCATCGCTTGACTGCAAACACGGCGGCCTTCTATTTGTCTTTTCCTTCTCCCTGACTCTACTCCTTTCCTGCCCATCTCAAAATTAACATCCACTTAACGTTGTTACATAAATGTCTCACAAAGTTTCTTTCATAACCCCAGGGGCCCACTGCACGTACCACCCATGAACTCTCCAGACTGTTCAAGGTAAAAAAGGTGTATCACCAGGGTGCTCACCCAAAGATCCACTGGGTAAAATAAATGGCAACTCAATCCCTGCATCCCAACAAGACCATTCTAAAATGGAAATGCGATCGAGACCAAAAACAGGGATGCCCATAGAACACTCTAAACAAAACAAAAACAACCTCACAGTCCCCCCAAAGGACATTCCTATTGGCCCACCTGCCAAAGAACCTTCTGGCAAACATATCGCCTGCCTCTGGCCCGGCACTCCACGGCACAGAACATGTGCAAAATGAGTCTGAGGTCAAACTTTGTCTACCAAGGAAATTAGAAGGAAATTGTCAGAGATAAAATCCAGCTTTTAACTCTGGCATCTATCCAGCTTTGTTCATTTTCATCGAATGTTTTAAGAGGTGAGGGGGGAGGTGTCACCGAGAAAGGTCAGGGGCATCTGCCATGTCCATTAGCCCCTGTAGACACTGTGCATCCACCTCCTTAAGCCTAGCGTGGATTCCAAATGACTTTACCTGTCCTCCGAGGATTATAGCAGTCAGACAGACAGTTCGAGCCTGCAGAATGTGGGCCTCACAGAATAGAGAGGTTCCCTAAGAATGAGAATAACCCCAAATCATTTAACTGTGTAAAACCTCACACCACAGTCATCCTACGCAGGTTGACAGAGTGCTTGGGAAGTAGGGCAGTGGTCAGCTCCATCAGAGGGGCATGTGAGCTCACCGAGGGAGAAAGCTGACACATCACGTGCCCAGAGGATTAGCATTTACAAGCAAGCCTCCACAGCAACAATGCTCAAACCACTTGGCCACGGAGTCTCCCTGCGGCACCTCATTCATCAGCCTCAAATACATTTCCCCACAGCTTTCCTAGAAAAGAAGGCTGCATCTCGGAGCAGGAGACAAGGCTCTGTCCATTTTCAGGAGGAAGCACACAATGCAGCAAGTGTTATGTAATCGATCGGCCCAGACCAACCTCGGCCAAGTGCTCCCAGCACATTCTTTCCCACCCTTCTCAGTGTTGTAATCGGATATGCAGCTGGTCAGCTGGCCTGGCTCCTTACATTACAGACACAACTTGAATGTTGCCTAGTTTGTCCACAGCCTGACGCTTCAAGAAACCACATCCTTACAGGACATCAGGACAGGGCCCTGGAGCCCATCCTACACCAGCCGGTCTGGAAACAAAATGCCCAGTCTGGGGTCAGCCCACATTCTGAGGGGCGACCATGGAAGGGCCAGAACACGGCAGGGTCTAATATACTCACACCAAAGCCCGCACGCACGCTCTGCAAAATGCCACTAACTCACGCGTTTCCCCACCTCGCTCTGCCAATCGGTTATTTTAAGCATCAGCTATTTAAATATCACAAGGATCTTGTTAACTCAAATGCACTTATATAGTAACTAAACAGACATGAAAAGCAGACCCTGCTTTTCAGTCTAATTTAGAAAATGACATTTTCATGCTCTGCATGAAAGAACTATCTTTTTTGGGTAAATAATAAAACCCAAATCCAAAGGAGGGAAGGATATCAGAGCTTAAATTCTATAAGTACCCAGTTTGCAAAAGACTATAGATGACGGAGGAAACCCAGAATCCATGTGCAGGGTCTCCACATGGTCTCCATGGAAACCACTGTGACCACAGGCCAGGGATGTGAGTCACCTTGCTCTCATCGGAGAGAGTATCTTAAAGTCGATGATGGCAGACGCAGCGAGGTTAAAATGATGTCCCTTTGGACCCAGTTTACAGTTGATTCACTTTTTAATAGTTTTGGCTTTCTTTTCATGTGAGGTCTTCCTGTTTTGTCTAGTCATTGTTGTTTGCACCCTGTTTGTCTTTCACATGATTTTCTGTATATGAAATCCAGGACAGGGAGCTCTACAGAGACAGTAACTGGATAGGGGCACGGCGGAGGGAGGTGGAGAGCTCACGATGAGTAGGAAAAGAAAGTGTTCTGAAGTTGACTGTGATAGTGATCAAACACCTCAATCTGAAGGAATGGTAAAGTTGGGTAGGTGACACATATGCCAATAAAATTATTTTTAAAAGAACAGTCTTTTAACACTTTATAAAAGAAAAGGTTAAAGGAGCAAATGCAATCTTTCCATCAAAGGCAAACTTTTTCCGGAAAGAGCAAGACAGTGGATAATGAAGGTGTTGGGGAGCCACATGATCTTAGACACAAGTACTCAACTCGACCACTGTGGGTGAAAGCATCCATAACCAAACCACCTGCTAGTAAATCCATTCCTGGCACACCCACAGGTGTCAGCATCCAGCTGAGCCCCGCTGGGTTTCCAATGGCTATGATCTCTGGGGAGTAGACTGCTATACTTTCTTCCAAGGTGCCTCTGGGTTGAGGAGATTTGAAACTGTCAGTGAGCAGCTCAGAGCTAAACCATATGCATGGCCCTGGGATCCAAGCCATAAAGTTATAGATAAGTCATTACAGTTAACTATACTCCACTAAAACACTAAAATGATATTTAAATAAATAGACAATAGATCCGATTTGACCCAGTGGGTATAGCTTGCCAGCCCTTAATCTAGAAAATTATTTCTTTTCTTCCAGGGATTTTGAACTGGCTTGATCTGGTTGAGTCAATAGTCAATGAAGCCTAATTGGAAATGATCCGAATATTTAACATTTGTGCTCAGCAGACTGATAACTTGGATTGATAAAATTATGGCGGACATGAAAAAGGTATCATGAGCCCATGCAGAAAGCTGATGCATGAGAATGGATGATTTTCAGGACTGCAGAGAGTAACCAGATTCAAAGTGGTAAGTCGGCTGCCATCTTTGAGCAGGGCACCATTGTTTCTGATTGTGCAGGTCAAGAGATTAAGTTGCTAGGCAATTCACATGCTGCCCTTGTTTTTGAAGAGGGGAGATTAAGTTGTCAGCATGGGAGATTAAGTTGTCAGCACGGGGTCAACTCATTATTTTTCCCATTCTAGTTCTGACCCTGGGACACCCATATTTTACAAACACAGGTTCATTCTGGTTCCACTACATCATCCATCCTGAAGCAAGAACATGGTTGAAGCCCTATTGCCTTCCCTTCCTGTATATTATCTTCAGCTGGTGCTTCACTTCAGTGGTTCACTAATAAAGTAGAGATATGCAAAGGTGGCAGATGATGGGTTTAAGGGGAGGTGGTTTTCAAGCCCACCAGCACAGTTCCATCACTTTCCCACTTTTCCTGAACTAACCAGTGCACAGAGGAGGTCGACTGCCTCCAACACGAGCTCCTGGTGCCCGATGCGGGTGACACCCAGCTCCTCCAGGTCCTGGTGGGAGATCTGCAGCAGCTGCTCCCCATTGATCTTCTCCCGCTCGAACTTGTGGACATACTGCTGCAAGCAGTCATCCAACCCTAGGCCAAAGTGAGGAAGACAAGAAGGTCATTATTGGCATTCTGCTCTGGTTAAAAAACATATGCCCACATTTTATTTTATTGTTGTTAAAAACATCCATGGTAACACATATACCAATTCATGGATTTCTGCAAATAGGAGCCATGGGGACGACGTACAGTCTTTAAACTGTAGTCATTCATACCCTCCTGTTCAGATTTGTGTCTCGCCTACTGACATAAACACTCTCGGCCATAAGCTCCTTATCTTATCTAACCTTTTGAGTGGCTACTAACAATTTGATCCTTGATGTATGTATGGATTGTGATATGAGTTGTAGGAGCCCCCCCAAAAATGATTTTTTTAGATAATAAAATAAAATGAAAAAAAAAAAAACCCCAAAACAATTTGATCCTTTAAAAAGAGCACAAACCCCACAGTGGACACACTTGACTAGTTAAGTGAGACTATTATCTGGTTTTCACGAATATTTTGATTCATGCTTTGAGGATTAAAGATGATCTCAGGGTGCTTAGGGGTTCATCAGGCTCACTGATTCCAGAAACTCTGGATTCCATGATGCTTGAAATTGAAATTCTACATTTTTACACCTTTTAATCAGGATTCTTGTATAGAATCTTTGATCAAAATGTCCAGTAATGGTAGCTGGGCACCACCCGCTTTTGATCTTGTGGGAAAGGAGGCAGCTGTTGTCTGTGAAGGCAATCAGGCATGCATGAAAAAACAACAACAACAACAAAAACCCTGCCAACATGTACATCAATCTCAGCAGTATCAATTACATTTCCACTGTTGGATTGCTGACATGATGTGGATTCTACTTGGAGTGACAGTTTCTTATCTCAAACAGATGAATACAGTACAGTTTTATAATTATTACATTCCATCCCCTACAAAATAATGTAATAAATACTAAATCCCTGCTGTTATGAAATGCTAGCATAAATAGTCAACATTTGTTGTTTGTTTGCTAAGCAACACTTCCTTTGGGACATTATCCCTCTTCCATATGATCCCAGTGGATTCATTGAGTGAGATGCTGTGTCACAACGAATGGGACTCTCTCTGCTGTGCCCCACCCACCCAACACACACACACACACACAGAGACATTTCATTTAACCTCCACAAAATCTGTGACTTAGTGGGATTTCTCTGGGCTAGAAAGTGTAGGCAGAAGGTCCAGTAATTACTGTTATTGTTTTTGTTGTTATTAATTCCTTTAAAATTTTTATTTTTAATTGAGAATTAATACATATCACCCCATAGCTCAAGCACACCCAGCAGAATTGTATATTTGCTCCCACAATCAGTTTGCAAACATTCCTTTTCTCCATGGACTCCTTGACATCATCTCCCTGTTCCCAGCCACCACCACTGGACCCCGGTAATTACTTCTAACAACACTAGAGATCTCTGAACTCATTGGCATGTATCCCATTCCAACTCACAGCAACCCTATAGGGCAGGGTAGAACTACCTCTGTGAGTTCCTAAGACTGTATAACTCTTCCTGGGAGCAGAAAGCCCCATCATTCTCCCACAGAACAGCTGGTGGCTTTGAACTGCTGACTGTGCTGTGTTAGCAGCCCAACACGTAACCCAGCGTGCCACCGCAGTTCCCACTGAAGACCATGGGCTCCAGTAAGGTCTGGAGATCTGCTTCTGGGAAGACTTCAACCAAGAGAACATGAAGGAGCAGTTCAGGTCCATGAGTTAGAATCAGCGCAGCAGCAAGGAACAAGAGAGCAGGGGGGCCTGTGCAGCTCGGCCCCACAAATCCCACCGCCTGCCTCCTGGTGAGACACAGGGGCATGGACAAGTGGCGGGGTTTAGGACTACCATATGCACACACACATAAAAGAGAGGTAAGAAGAGTCAATGTTATGGTAACTGTCTGGAATTAGCCATGCCCTCGGAGGTGACATCTATTTGGGAGGACTACTGTTTGTTTGCCAAGGCCTCAGGGGGACACCCAGTCCTGCTTTGAGGATGAAAGATGTTACTGGGGCAGTAGTCTTGAGAATTCATCCAGCCTCACTGGCTCCAGAAACCTGGATTCCACCCCTTCTGACCAGGAGTCTTCCAGAGAATCTAAAAAGATTCAAAGTGTTCCGAAATGATCGCCAGGCCCCGTCCACATTCCCACTTCCTATCGCAGGGCAAAGGGGCAGTCGAAAACCCTCACTGAAGTCAAGCTGAGCAAGATCAATTCTGCTGCCACGATTTGCCAGTGGGTCTGATGTGTATTCCACTCTTGCATCTGCTTGCCAAATGTGGAATGATCAACACTCCTCTCCAGCCATCCTGGATAAGCAGCAAGTCTAACTAATCACAAAGCAGTGACAACAATGCACTCCACACGCTCTTGGACACACGACGCTTTCAGTTAGCGGCCGAGCACTTGCACCTTCCACACTACCCTCAGGAATGGGGCTAACAGACGAGTGGAAGGGAAATTCACGGCTGCCGTGCCAAACACACTCACTGCTCAAAAGGCAAGCACACAGCAGTGAGACTCGGTCATACATCTCATGTGCAGGGAGCACCCACCTGTGAAGACTCAAGGGCAGAAACTGTGGTCACTGGATGCCCATGAAGCCCCACCCCAGAGGGATACAGAGAAAGAGAAGACGCCATCAAGGATGGGAAGTTTCATCATGGAAGAAAGAAGCTTCCCAAAGTAACTGCAGAGCAGAAAAGGAATGTGCAGGGCATGGAGGAGGGCAGCTGCATGACAGGTGTGATGAGAGGGCTGGGTACCAATGATCCGACGAGACGAGGCAGGGAAGCCAACAGAATAACTCTCTCAGAAATGGGCTGGAGACTCTCCTGGAGGATTCTGGAGGGACACAGTCATTCCAACGGCAAATAAGCCAGTTTCCCTGAGAGGCAGACGGATCCTCAGGCTGTTGTTGCTGCTGGAGTCAGTTCGGACCCACCGCGGCCCAACGCCCAACAGAATGAAGCACTGCCCCGTCCTGCGCCATCCTTGTGCCTGTTCCTGTGCCGAGCCCATCGCTGCAGCCACGGAGTCAACCCATCTTGTTGGGGAACGTCCTCTTTTTCGCTGGCCCTCCACTTCACCAAGCATGAGCTCAACACAAGCTCTGGTGAATGGGGCAGTGCTGGTCCGGTGTAAAATGACCACATTCCACGAGGGAGACCAAGGGCCAATTCCCGGACAATGCGGCTCACCCCTGGCCACCACCCATCTGACCCTGGGGCCTTGTGTACCACTGTGATGTGAAACCGTGCTCCCTGACCAGGACCAGGAGGAGAAGCCTGGTTATCTGTATCTAAAGCCAGCCAGTGAAAATCCTACAGCACACAGGAGTTATAGCCCTTAGAGCCTCGTGACCAGGAAACATTTAGGTCTGGGGTCCCCACGACCTGGGGGGCTGATGAGACAGCAGCTAACAATAGCAGCTTAAGGACTTCTCCCTCAAGGTACACATACATTGAATGTGCTGAGTTTTAAATAGCCTGGCCCCCAGAGTTTTACTATTCAGATACGCTGTGGCCCATTGTTCTGTTATCCTATTGTTTAGGATACAATTAAACATTCATAAATGGCCAGATTAAAGCACTACACACACACAAAAAAAAACCTCCCCCACCAAAAAAAAAAAAAGCCATCTAAAAAAGATGTTCAGCGCATAGCAATCTACATTCATTTGTTTTATTTGGCAAATGTTCCAAACACCTCCACGCAGCTTTGCCTCCAAGAGCTGACACAAAGTCTAGCAAGATGTTAAGAAACACAAGATTGAGTTACATAGAACACACTGAATTTACACACCTAAACCGCAACTCCGTGTGGAATCAATTCCTTCCATCGGGAAGGGAGTGAAGAAGAAACCTCACCCAGCCAGGCCCAGGGGTACTCCCTCCCTGACCGCTGTCTGAATACCCTAACCTTCACTGCCTAAGAAACCCTGAGTGCAAAAACATTAAAAATTACTGAGAAGACATGTTTATTGTGAATTCAGTTGGGGGGTGAGTTAGTTAATTGTGCCAACCTGGCCGATAATCACATGTGGGGCTAATTGAAAGGCGGAGGGATAAATGGGAGGTGAGCCTCGCCTTTCTAGTTCTCGGGTCTCTTGCTTTGTGATGGTCGCACCAGGGTGCAGCTGCCTTAGCAGTTCCTTGATTCAGCTTGCAAGATTGACTTCCTACAAGAGATCCCCAAGGAGAAGCTTCATGGACCTATCCCGATGCAGCCCTGAGTGCTGGAGCAGCCGTGTGGAGACCCCTGCTAGTGCTGAGATGCTTATTCGTTCACTGACTCAGTTTCCTCCTGCAGTCGGCATCATTGCCTCTGTTTTGTGAGGTGGAGGACTTACTTTGTGGACTGGTGTTGGGTTAATGGGTTTATTATGTTAGACTTGTGGGCTTGGGCAGCATTGGGTTGGGATGTTTTCGTGATGCACATTTTCTTTACATAAAACTCTCTCTTATACATGAGTTGCTGTGGATTTGTTTCTCTACAGTACCTAGACTAATACAGGGGGTGTGTGTTACATTTCAGACCATCAATTTTATATTCAACAGTTTAACTTATTAATATCCCTCCCTCTATAGCTTACTGGAGCCCTGGTTGCACAGTGGTTATATACTCAGCTACTAGAACAAGATGAAAAGTTCAAAACTACCAGCTGCTCTGCAGGAGAAAGACAGGGCTTTCTGCTCCTGTAAAGAGTGACCGCCTCAGAAACCCACAGGGCAGTTCTACCCTGTCCTACAGGGTCGCTGTGAGTCAGCCTGGACATGAGGGCAGTGAATTTGCTTTTTGGTTGGAGTAGCTTACCCTAACCCTTTCCTTTGACGTCTTTTCTCCCTCTTGTGCATTACAGGACCCCTTCACACAAGTTGGGCTTCTAACCACAAGGTCAGTGGTTCAAAACATCAGCCACTTCACAGAAGAAAGAGAAGGCTTTCCATTCTGTTAGGTTTGAGCTTGTGGCCAGGAAGGGGTAGTACACCTAGGTGGGCATT